ACATATAGGCAAGTAACTTTACTCTACTACTACTACTACCTTTTACCTACTTTATTAAAAGTAGCTGAAATTGTATAAAGCTCAAGATTTTCTTTTACTTATGCAGGAGTCAGGTATGTATGGTAAACTAGTAAGACAACTGTCCATGTAAAATTTGATGTTTAAATATCACAAAACGTTACAAACGAATAAAAGAACAAATAGTCTTTAGATCTGACTGCAACGTAAAGCCAGCCAAAAGAAATGCATTAGAAATTATTAAAACAGTGAAGATTTATAATTATATCACAACTGTCTGCTTGAAAGATATATGATTACTGTATATGGTTTTGCATAAAGGTCATTTGTCCTGATGAAGGTATCCAGTACAGGCTGTAATTTGATCCAATTTAGTAGGAATGGAAAAATGATTTTTATATTATTCTTTTCCTTGGAATGTTTTTTTTATTCTAATTTAAGATTGTGTGTTTTACTGTTTTTTTTTTTTTTTTTAACTAGTCACATCACCCTGTTTCAGCCCAGACTTTGATGAGTCCAAACCAATACATTCATTTGGGGATTTTTATTTGTCACTTCAGACATTTAGAAAATTACTTTCTAGTGTACTTAGGACAAATATTTGAATGCATAGTCACAGAATCTTATTTTTAAATACTTTTATTATAAAGCTGTATGTCTGACGATAGGAATGTGACTTTGTGTTCTTTTTAGAATAGAATAGAAAATCCCTTTATTGTCCCACAATTGGGAAATTGTGGGTAGTTTTGGCTTTGAAACTCACACACAGATGTCATTATAAACCAGCCTCTTTCCTATTGTTGATTCGTGAAAGGTTCTCTTTGTTGAGTTCTTGTTTATATTTTTGCTAAGGTCCCATATGAGTTGTTGATTGTTTCCTTCTAGTGCTCTGGAGCACTTCCCTTATATAGAGCTAGTATGTGGCTCTTTTTAACTTACAGTTTCCACTGCTACTTACAGCATTTTCTCTTTTCCTGTATTCTGTGTGTTACTTTGTGTGTGTCTGCAGCAGGTTTTGTGTTTGCTGCATGCTTGCCCTTTGCTGCTCTCTATTTTCTGTGACTGCAACAAGTCTCCATTGCGGCATTTTCCCTTGCATGTTTTTCTGTGTATTGATCTAATTTTTGTATAATTTTTTATTTGCATTATAATGAAATATGTGTTTGCATCGTGTTAGCACCCTTCAGCCACCATACTGTTGACCTTTTCCTTTGAAAATACTTTTGCATTTACTTGAGTTCTCCTTGTCTGATATAATAATTGTTTTGAAGAGCTAAAATATTTAAGTTTGGCAAATAAACTAAGCATAATTATTGCTGGGGTATCTATATTTTAAGAGCTGCCCATTATTTTCATGCATTTAAAAATATGACAGAGCAAAGATGTTGGACTAGCTTCTTTAATGAATAAAGATTAAATAACATGTTTAAAATATTTTTCTTGCTAAACAGAAATTAAATTCAAGTTATGTGTGTCCACACTGAGTGAACCCAATTAAATGTGTTAACAAACAAGCAAAGTTCCACTGCTACATGGTCAATAAGACCCATCCTTTGCAGAGCATGCAAATGAGAAACTGTCCACCACATTCAATATCGTGCACATCGAACTGGTCCAGCATCATAAGCAACAGGTCAATAATTGATGTGTTAGTGATGCTGTTTATTGGCTTGTTTCCCAAAAGACAACCTGTTGTCCGTCAGTGAGCAACAGTATGTCAAAAGCCAATCACATGTCTATCCACAGGTCTTATCCTACCCAAATTCAATCAATACACAATTCAGGATTTGTGGGTCACAGGTCAAAGTACAATCAATCCATTCAGTTGTCAGTAATGTAAGTGATGTTAGACGTCTTCTGCCTTTCATTTAATGGTTGCAGTAACTGGTTGTAAGTCAGTTCAAAATGAAATAGGTGAAGTAACCCTTGTGTTAAAAGAGCTACAGTTGGTTATTTTGCTCTAACTGCCAGTGTGCATGTCCTTTACCAGGTAAGAGCAAGCGCCATTGCACAAGATGCTGATCAGAACTACGACTACGCATCCAACAGCGTGATCCTGCATCTGGACGTCGGTGATGAGATTTGCGTGCAGCTGGATGGCGGAAAAGTCCACGGAGGAAATCAAAATAAGTACAGCACTTTCTCTGGATTCCTTATCTACCCGGACTGAAGCTAAATTAACAGCCAGAGAGGAGAAAGGAAAGGAAGCAACGGACAAGGGTTGACACACATCTACATTATGGATGCAAATAAATGCACATAAGGCAAAATCCACACACATACATGCATGTAATCACATGTGCACACACCTACATAAACATCTGATAGCATTACGATGGATTGCATTGAATTAAAGTAAGAATTAAATTAAAGTGTAAGATACCGAGCCAATCATCAGCAGCAACAGTATTTATATGAACCTTATTGTGCAAATAGAAATATCAGGATACTATATGGTACAGCTTAAATAAACTATTTAACACCAAGGCTCAGAAATATCTTAAGTATTACATTGTAATCTATAATAACTGACATGGTAAGAACACAGGTAAAACAAACACCATAGGTTGGATAATTAACATTCTATAATGGTGTTATGGAGAGGAAATTGAGGCAAAATCATGTTTATTGTTTATGTTGAAATATTGTCTTTCAGTATGTAATTTCCATTCCAATAATCTTTGCAGCTCCTTTGGAGTACACACAGAAGAATATTTACACAACAGTTTAGATGATATTTGATCTGAGATAAGGCACAGAACTGGTTAAAAAAAAAAGATTTTTCCTCCTTGTCTTCATTGTCATACATGTTGCAACATACAGTGGTTTTTTTTACATTTGCTTGAGCTGCTGTTAAAGATGCAAAAAGCTTCAGAGTATAACAATATTTTATTGCAGAAGCACTACTTTCATACTGAAAAAAAATGCACAACAAACCCAACCATAAATGTGAGTACATTTAATTAGTGGAACAAAAAATTGATATCTATTAATTAAATGTGTCTATTTTTTTATGTACTTTTATGTTTTTTAAATTGCAACGGCCCGTTATTAGTAATCCACAAATTCCTGTTCACCTGAAGGTTAAATAAGACAGAATGCAGACAAGGAAACAGGCCATTCAAGAGATCTCGCCAGCAGCAAAGTTTTCAGTTTGAGATTTTGTCAATGCATATAGTTGCTATATAGCTGAAAGCAAATCTCTATATTTGCTGCAGTTTATAAAAATACACTAAAACCTATTTTCTCAGTGTCTGACTTTAAATCAGAATAAGCTTTTTCTTTTTATTGTTTTTGCTCAGTTACAATAATCAAAACTATGTTTTCTTACTAAAGGCCAGAATAACTGGGTAACAGTATTTGGCTTTATATATACTAAAATTATTATGCATTTAAGCGGTTTTTGAAAAGTCAAATGGTGATATCATGGCTTCATAAGCCTCTGACAGATAAATTCCAAACATTGGAGTTGAATGGAGGGGGTAACACCCTCCTTCATTTTTACATAATAGAAAAATTCAGGCCCCATGTAAGGCTCATCCTTAAGTATTTACTACTGTTTTTTTTGTTGTTTTTTTTATAGTGACCTGTATACACATTTCCTATGCCATATATTGTAGCCTGTGTAGATGTTGCTCATTTTAACGCATGATTGAAACACATCCAGCAAAAGGCACAAAATCATTTCATAATGAATTAGTTATAAGTAAAAGACTTGACTCACTTACTTAGAAAAATGTTCCTGTTGAGTTTCTAAAATCCTAAGATGCCTGAAGGTGCAACATTATTCTGCTAGATAGCTAGAGCTGAAACAATTAATCAGATTAATCATGATTAATCAATTATTGAAATTAAGCGTCAGCTAATTTAGTAATCGATTAATTGTTAAATGGAGTAAAGAGACTCTAAAATAAGCCTTTAGCTGACCCGCCTAGAGCAGCATTAAGATAAAAAATGTTTTTTGTCTGTCAGTATGCTCTGTTCTTTGCTCCTCAAGTGGAAAGTTTTATTTTCACTTTGTATAATTTTGCAAAAGTCTTCTATAAGGAATCTCTTGCTATCCGATTATTAATCTAAAAAATAATTGAGAGATTAATCGATTTGAAAAATAATCGTTAATTGTAGCCCTACAGCTATGGAAGAGTATAAACAGTGTTAAATATCCAGCAAACATACTGTTTGCCCAGTTTTCCAAGAGATAATTGTGTTTTGAAGTAAATGTGCAAATAAACAGTTCCTAAACCGCAGAATAAGACTTTGTAAGGATGTCGGCTGAGGCTAGGAAGATGGTGTCATTATACAGAGTGAAATCAGTCTATTATCTATTTCAACAAAAAGACCCTTAAAAAAAGCCATTACTCTAATAGAAGTATAAAGAAAATTAATTTTGCATATACCGGTATATAAACCTTAATCATTTGGTTCAAATCGGAGGCCTGATGTTATGTTGTTTTATTTTGGTTTGATCATTTTGTTAGAACACCAGACGAACTGAAAAGTACAGGAGTGGCAGCATTATGTTGTGTTACTACAGGGAACTTACAACTCCTAGGGATTTCATGAAAAAGATAACATCGTAAGGAAACACTATGCAAAATTATTAAAGAAGCATGTAAAATAATTGGCTTAGAAATTAAGGTGTTAGCAGAAATAGGTCTTCCAGGTAGACAATAACTCCAAAGACAACAAAGTTAACTGGGTGGTCATCACAAAGCCCTGATTTCAATCCCACAGAAAATCTGTTGGCAAAGCTGATGTGTGTGAGCAAAAATAGTAAAAATCATATAATCTCATTAAGTATTCAGGTATTTATCACGTCAAAATAAATGTATTAATCCTATCTGAGCTAAAATAGGGAAAGCTTAGTCTGATTTAATGTTTGATATTGACAAAACAAATGTCTGTTAAGTGTATATAAACATTTGGTTTCAACTATATCTTCATTTTTATTTGGAGTGCTAAATCCTTTAGAGGGTATGGTAAATGAACACATGTTGGAGAAACATATCACAATGTATTTTACGCTTGAAATCTGCGTGTACATGTATTTTTTGAAATTCATTACAGAGAAAATGGGTGAGTGAGAATGTATGAGTGAATAAAAGTCACAGATTTTGTGTTTTAAATGGTGTATAAGACATTACATTCATTTTACTATAACCTAAAACCCCAGTGACTGTTTTCCGTTCATTACATGGAAACAAAACAACTTTGGGATGAACAGTCTGGGTTATTAAAGAGGTTGAGTGACCAATTGCAATTAAAACATCTGACCAACTTTGTCTGTGTCTTTGAGTGTTATTTTGGACCCAGTGTAGAATACAGATATGCATATTCAACATGGCCACACAACTCTGCTAACCTCATGCTCAGTTTTATTTAAGGTGACCACTCGGACTTAGTTGTATCAGTTGGCATGGTTGTATAAACCCAGAGCAAAGATCGAAGCTGAAGCAGCCTCTGCCTGCTGCAAAATGGATTTTCAATATAAGACCCAAATATCACTCCTGCTTTATAGGCCTCAGCTTATCAGGCACCCTGGATCAACAAGGCCCAGACATTTGATACGTTTTAAAGTAACACGACAGAGATCTATGTTACAGCGTTAAAGCAATAAATCTGGAAATCAATCAGAAATATAGTAAACAAAAAAGCAAAAATAAAACCCAGAAACTTGTGCTATATGTCTTCAAAGATTTTTGTTTATTGATAATTCTGTTTAGACTTTGTAGATCTTGTGTCTGATTTGTCTCACTGTTTTATTGCAAACAAAAAAAACAGGTTTTCACTGAGAGACTAAATCCCTGTAGATACATTTATTTTAGAAAACAATTTTTAGCCCTGCTGCAGAATAAAAAGGCGTATAAAAGAATGTATCTTATAAACTTTAAACTTGAAATGCACAAATCCCTTGTGATCATTTTACCACATACTGCTGCAATGAAAAAATATGAACCCTAAATACAAAATCCAAAACGCTTCAGAGATTCATCTGTATGCTTATAAGCCAATGGAGCCACTTCATCTTTTTTAAACCTAAAAAAAACCCTCAAATATCCAGTTCATGATAAAGGAAATTCTTCTGAAAAAGTATCTAATTAGAGCAGAGTTGGTGTCATTCCTGAAGTGAAGGATTTGGAGAATCTGTTGCTTCTGAGCAGGAGGGAAAAAAGAGGGCTGAAGGCGCAGTGTGTCTGGGCCCAGCCCACGTCTTTCTCTCCCAGCAGATTCCAGTTGAAAGTTAATTGGACGGGGAGAGGTCTGAGACGGGCTGTGCCGAGGCCCATTAGTGATTCCCCTGTCGAATGCAGAGCCATGAGGATCACAGACTCACAAATAGGAGGATTAAAATAATCAATAGCCTTGACTTCTATCGACCACACACACATACACAAAGAGTAATTAGTAGAGAGCCTATTCAGTGGTGGACTATGACATCCTCCTGAACCTTAAACCCCTCACACACACACATAGGGATCACTATCTGTTAGCTGTGGTGCCTAATGAGGGGGAATAGTTGACTGCTTAAGAAGGAAATGCAGAAAAAGGTCATGAAAGTACTGAACAGCATATTAAGGTAAAGACTTTGCATTTTTGAGAAGGAAAAAATAAAGTGTAAGTAAATAGTTGTAAGATTTAATGTAAAAACATAACATTAGACAACAATGTCCACTCGTGACGTTTATTTTTTGTCTAGCTCAATGCCAAATGAGGATAGAGACCATTGACACTATTAGTTTATAATTGGTCATGCTTTAGCAGCAACACTGCCTCCCAGTGTTCAATAAAAAAAAGGCATTTCTTTCAAATAGTTTTACAATGGATGGGATTTCTACAGATTGGACTCTCTTCTACCTTCTGAAATGCACAATATTTTGCCTTGGCATCGGCACAATTTTAATCCATATTGGATTGAGATTTGGTGACCCTGAGTGCAATTGGAGGTCAATGAACTCCGATCTTCTCCTGCTTTTTCCATCAGGGTCACGGTGGAGCTGGTGCCCATCTCCAGCAGTCTATAGGCGAAAGATCAGTTCCACGCTGAATAACACGCCAGTCTGTTGCAAGGCAACACAAAGACATACAACCACATACACAATTACACCTACTGACAATTTACAGACACCAGTTAATCTAACAGTCAGGTGTTTGGACAGTGGGAGAAACCAGAGTACCAGCAGGGAACCCATGCTCACACAGGGAGAATGTGCATATAGAAAAACGGTAGATTAGGAATCCAACCCAGGACTTTTTTGCTTCAAGGCAGTGTGACAAACTGCACAGCCCATCAGTGAATTCATGTTCAAGATTAGTGACAGCCTTTTTCTGGAGGAACCGAGCTACAGAAGACACTGTGGTCATGAAGGGATTTTCAGTTTATCCTCTCAGGTTGTAAGATGTTTGTTATTAGAATTAGTGGTGGTGAAAGAAAATCTCTTCCTAAATCATACCATCCGTCTTGGATACCAACCTGGATGGATCCATAATTAAACCAACATTTTGATGCTCCAAGCTAAACTTGGAGCTGAAATCAACCCATAAGACTTGAGCATATTTGTTCCCAACTTAAATTTTTTTTCCCCAAATTTGGTAATCCATAGTTTTCTTGTTCTTAGTTTACAGGAGTTGCTCGTTTGTGCTGCTATAGGCTGTTTGACCAGAGGGGTTACTCCTCATTCTTTGCTATTCATAAGTAGTTATTTAAGCTACCGTTGCCTTTCTACAATTTTAAACCGGTCTGTATATTACTCCCAAACATTATAGGGCACGTTATCCATAAAACTGCAGACATATATCTAGAAAAATCACAATGCAAGAAAGTCACTTACTTACCCTCCCCCTTTTGACCCAATTCCAGTGCCTTTTCCATTTCAGCCATATAACTTTTGACACTTCTGGAAAATTACATGAAATTTCTCCTATAAGATGGGCTGATGTCTTTTGTTTTTGCAATTTGCCAAACAAACAGGTTTACCATTTAAAGTGGCCACTGTGTAACTTATATTAATCCAGTTTAAAAAATAATCCACCAAGACTACAGCATTTCAGGAAAACATTTATTCAAATGCAGCAGCAAATCCTAAACCAAATTCAAAAAATGAGAGCTCCTTTGAAATGTTTTCAACTATAGCCTTTGATATTTCTTTTGATAAAACCAGGACATTTCAGTCATAGCAAGTCTTAGGAACATGTATATGCACGATATATTATTGTATTGTCCCGTTTAAGTGATATTGTTACAGTTCATTTGGAGTTGTTATAAACTATGCAAGCTCAAATATTTCTCAATGGATACAAATAAACAGGGCTAAAAATGGGGCTTTATGGTCTTTGCTAGGGAATGTAAAGGCACTTCTTAAAAGAAACTCATGGAAATCGTTGGGGTGAACTGACAAAGCTATATGGAAATATATAGGAATGTGATTCTGATGAAAAAAGAAAAGTGACGCTGTTCATCTTCATCCATTCATAACCATCCGGACCAGTTCTGAAAGAAAAATGAAGAAAAATTAATTTTCTCACAAAAAATGTGAAGATCTGCTCCAATTACAGCATGCTGGGCCAAGACCTGCTTTAATCTAAGATGCTGCATTTGGAGGCAGATCTTCCATATTCTCCTCTAGAGCCAGGAAAAATGGGTCAATTGAAGAAGGCAGAAAGGAAAAAGGAGGTCATTATAATCTTTTATTCAGCCAAAGCTATCGGTCCTCTAAGATCCACAGAAGGTTGGTTAGAGTAGCTGTCCTCACCGTTTGCCTTCCTCTAGCTGAGAAGCACAGAAAAGGGGAGGAGATCAGGGTAGCTACAGTCAAGTCAGAGCAGCCAGCTTAAAAAATAAGTTTCCATCAGTACAAAGAGAACAGTCAGCATAAGAGCAACTCTATAACATTATTTGGTTAGTAGAAAAAGGGACTGGTCCACTCCTGCATCTGGTGGCAATACTGTACATATATTGTACAATGACAGCATCTAGACAGATCTAACACCTTTAAAACCATTGAAGGAAAAGACCAACTTAAAAAAAGCCCCGCCAACATGCAAATAAAATCTAAAAACACCACACTCAAAACTGACCCCCAGGCTTCCACTAAAAGAGACCAGTCTCTTCCCATTCTGTCCACCATATCTCCATACAACCTGTGGAGGAGCCATAGATACATGCAGAGACTCATGCAGACTGCTGCAGCCAAGGGGCCAAGCCAGAGGGCTGCAGGAGTAAAACAGAGCGGCAGGAGGCTGCATATGGTTTACAGCCTCACGTCTGCAGGGGAGGGAGACTACCAGGCTTTCTCATGCACCCTACAGGTCATGTTTAATCTAAAACAGACAATTTATTTTTGCCAAGATGAACATTTCAACTATAACAGCATCAGTGTTTGAATAAGCTGGGGTGAAAGGATTATTTAAAACTAAGGGGCAGGAGAGCCTGGCGGTGTCCTCCCCTGATTTAGACAATGCCCGTACCGGCCCTCAGCCTGACATGATGTGACGAACAAATGCTGTGAACGAAGAACATGTAACAGATTGTCAGAAATCAACTTAGAATGATAGCTTCTTGAAGAGACCGATTAAAAAAACAAATGATTGAAATGCATCCACCAGAAATGCAGTTTTATACAGTATACTGCTTGTTTACTGCTAAAAAAAAAATCTATTTAAATTTCCTTTGATCAACTTTAATATCTAGGATATTCAATAAAAAGATTATCAAAAGATAAAGATATCAAAACCTCAGTTTTCTCTTCCCTCTGATCATTTATATAATGTATGTAACGTGCTGATCAGGCTTCTATGGAAACCAGCTGCCCGTTTACCTGATGCACTGATCACACTTTGACTGCAATTTCTTTGGCAATACACTAATTTGTAAATAAAAACAATTTGAACAAATGCTGATCAGAAAAGTAAAAAAAGCAACAAATATGAAGATATGAATCTGAGAAAAATGCAAACAGTTATTTAAAGACTCTTTGGTTTTGATGTATTTAGAGAAAAGGAAGAAAACAAATTTAACGTGTGGATAAAAGGGAAAACAGGTTTGAACACTGGCCAATTGACTTGTACATCACAGCTCTCAATCATACAATTACATAAGTGTTCCCTGTGGATCAGAGGAAATATGGAATGACTTTAATAATAGAAGGACTTCTAGTTATTCAGTTTATTAATCTTTCTCTTAAATTGATAACCACAGGTTTTGAAGTTTAAAATAAACACTTTACCAAAGCATCAATGTGCATCAAAGACATTTGAATATCCTCATTAGACGTCTAGATTAAAAGTAACAGTTCCTCCTTAGATTCTTCATAAACACTTTTCACATTTCTTTTGTTTTGTTCTCACCTTCATAATTGATGCATCCATTTGCATCTTCATGCCCAGCCAACAGTGTCTCAACTTCTTCCTCTGACATTTTCTCACCTAAAAAAAAAACAAAAAAAAACAAACGGACAAACATTAAAAAAACATACATTTAACTGTTAAAGCTCTTATGGGGCATCTCTCCCTCTCATATACATTTTAAAAATCAAAACGGCTTGCCTAGCGTGGTGAGCACATGACGTAGTTCAGCTCCCATTACTGTGCCGTTGCCCTCCTTGTCAAAGACACGAAGTCCTTCCACGAAATCCTCCATGGACCCCTGATCTTTGTTTTTGGCGATGGCCTGGAACATGGGCAGGAACTGCTCAAAGTCCAGCATCTTGGTATTCATCTCTGCAAAATAAGAAAAAGCTAATAAATGATACAATTTAGGCTATGATGAGGAGTGCCGCATTAAACTGACATAAATATAATCATTTAAATGAGTCAGTAATTCATTAAAACTACAAATTAACATAGAATGTATATTTATTTATAATTTATATAATATATAATTAATTATACAGGCTATAGTTAAATAATTTTTTTTTATATATATAAAATGAATTATTTCATGATTTAATAAATAATTTAATGCTCCTGCACTGAAAGCGAAAGGGGTGGGATTAGGGCCGCTTTCATAGAAACCCTGATGTCTGATTGGCTGTTTCTCATTGAGCAAGACATGGCCAACTTCGTCCTGGTTTTCTTTTAATCTAAAGTCAACATTGTTGTATCATAAATTAATGACATTTTGGAATCATTATTTCATTAGGTATTTATGTATTAAGTTGTGGCACTCATTGCGTTCCAAACTGGGCCAGTAGCTGGATGTTAATAATTACTATTTATTTACAATTAAACATTGTAATTGCAAAAAAAAGAAAAAAAAAAAAAGAGGGGTTAAATAATGATGAATGAAGACCACTTAAAGGAAATTGCAAAAAGAAGAAAAAAAAAACCAGAACTTTAACAGGGAAATGAGAAGTAGACAAAAGGGGAAAATCTTGATTCCCCCTAAAAAAATTTAATTAAGTTTAACAGAAGGGTTTTCTTGTACAAATAAAAAAGGTTCCACAAGCAGCTAGTAGATAGATTACAGCTTTATCTGACTTTCCTTGTGCAGCTTATATCCTGTCATTTGTTGACCTTTATGAAACTTTTAGGTGTGAAATTTGTGATCAAGCAAGCCCCTTCCATTGTCCAACATCCCCTTTTCAAGCTTCTCTACCAAATAGCTGAATAGGAATCTGATTGATCTTTTAGTTTGAAAAAATAAACTGTTAGAGGGCATTAGAATTTCACGAACCGCTGCCTAGAAAACAAATGGAGATATATGGCCTAATGTGATCAGACAAACATTAAAATAAAACAACTGCATTATACTGTAAAACCATTTTCCCACACATGGGACAGATTACCCTTTTTTTCCACGTAAAATATCATAGTTGGTGCAAAGCAGCATTTTAATGCAACCCCAATGTGAGTTAATAACAAACTCTCCTTTTCAAACCAAGTCTGCAGCAAGAAACATAAGTACCCCAAACAAAAGGGAAACGGGTTCATATCCCTGTAAATCCACGTTTGTGGTTTGTTTCTTACCCTCAGATTTGGGGTTGCCCAGTACTTTTAGCACCTCAGCATTTACAGGGTTCTGTCCCAGGGCCCGCATCACATCCCCGCACTGGCTGTAGCTGATCTTCCCATCTCCTGTCCTGTCAAACAGGAGGAAGGCCTCCTTAAATTCTGCAAAACATGCAAACATGAGACATGTTAGGGATAGATCAACATAATAAACTAGGAGATGCTCATTAAAAGGTGATACAGAGAGAATGTGGACAATAATCAAGAAAAGGCCAATAAAAAAATAAAAAAAGAGAGGAAACAAGCAGACTTCAAAAATGTTGGGTTAAATCCAAAATCATTGTAATTCATCTTCATATTTGCATCTGCAGTAGTTATAACAAATGATCGACGAACAAACATCCTGTTCTCTGAGCTCAGCCTGGTGACACCACAAACTAGCTTTAGCTTCCTCAATTCATAATACTTCTACTATTAATATGTCACTCATTACACACAAGCATTCACAAGCTCAGCTTTATTGTTAGGATGCTTCTCCATCTTTTAAATATGCAGGCCTCAATAGTTTAACAAATGAATCCAACATGCTTATCAAGAATTATCTCAAAGCTAAGATTTTTCCAAACTTGTACCTGAGTGGGCCATACAGAAGTAGTCAAATTCCTTCAAATGCATTTAGTTGCGTTACAGCTACAAACTTAAACACAAAGTAGTGCAGTTATGTAGCGGGTTTTAAAAGAGTATGGCCTTGGTTTACATTAACCCCTCTCATGGCGGTACTACCTGTAGAACGGTTTTCTCCTCCAGTTAAAAGGTGAACATAATTTGTGTTATATCTCCACCACTTTATAACATCTTTGTCAATTTATTCAGCAAAAGAGCTCAAGCTTGGTCATATTGTTAAGTCTTGTTATAAATTCTCATTTGGATTCAAGTCTTGGCCATCTTAAACACATAACCTTTGGTCGAACAAATTCCATTGTAGCTCAGGCTGCATGCTCAATTGAACGTCTGGCCCAGACTCAAGTCTTTGCAGCGTCTTACATGCTTTCTTCCATGAATGTTCAACATCACACATTTCCCTTTGACAACCTTCCAGAAAAGGACACATTTGAAGAGTAACTACTATAGATGCAGAGACACCAGATTGTGTGCATAGGGTTGGCCATTTGAATTTGATTCCAGTTTTGAACGATTCCATTTCTGATTTTGATTCCTTGTTTTGATTCTAGTTATCAATTCCGATTCTTTTAAAAAGGAGAATCCTAGGTTAACATGTTATACATGAGCATGTTAACCAGACTTCTGTCTGGATGAAATGACATGAACTTCTCTATAACGTTTAAATCATTGAACTTCTTTGTGTAAACGTTACTATAAATTATTATATTATTTTCAATCAGTAAATAAATATTGAAACTTTGAACTGTAATATAAATATCTTTTACAGTTACAGTTTCACATGAGCTTCCTTTTTCTATTTATATACAACCAAGGTAGTATTAAGACCATTTTATTTACTCAATTCTGACTCTAGTGCCATGTTAGGCTGAGTGTTGGAAATGAAGGAGAAAGCTCAGCTGTGTGAAACTCTGAGATTCAGTATGTTTATCCTCAGCATTGTTTAATGCACCCTGAATACACTCAACCACACATGTAGGAATTTGTTTTACTGGTGTAGACGGAGGAAAGATGTTTTAAACTTTGTCTTTCAGTTAGTCTGTTTGTAGTCGTAACCAGATTCTAAATGAATAAATATAAACAATAAATTAAATCATGTTTAAAATTATTCCAATCATCAGTTTGATATTGGATATCAGAGAGCCAATCCAGTGCACTTTACATGGTACTGCTTGTTAATAAATAATCTAAAGTACATTTATACTGGTGTTAATTTGTTACCCTATTTTTTAAGTGTTTATGTCAAGGCTAAAACCTCCGCTCACACGGCAAGATATGTAGTTCATTCAACAGTGGAATCACATCTGTATCAAACACGAATACGCTCAGCCCAGGTATCGAATCGATTGGAAAAAACTGGATAAGTGTACATTAAAGTGCTTGTCTTTCTATCCAGAATGCATAGGAAGAAAGGCAGGTATCTGTTAAGCTGTAAAGAGGAAAAAAAGTATTAAAAAAGGCATCGCCCTCTCTTGCAAACAAACTGCTGCAGATTCTTCTTCACTAGACAGCTTCTATTCCTGGTCGGCAGACTGGGCAACAAAACTAGGAATTGAAAATAAAAATTGATCGACTTCAGGAGGATTTAAAGTTTGAAAATGATTCAATGTGACTAACCCTAGCTGTGGATCTCTGCAGCTCCTCCCGAGTTCCCTCACTAACTCAAGATCATCTGACCATCCTGTTTTTTTGTAGGTGAAAAGCAACATAGGTTTATAGCTCTGTTGCTTCTTTTTTGATTTCAGGATGGCGGATTGAACAATGTTATATTCAAGGCTTAATTTGACGTATGTTCACCAATGTTCTAAACAGAACAGCTGTCTTTATGCGAGATGAAATGACAGGGTTGATAATTTTACCAGTTAGGTTACTTCTGAAGGCATTTGGTTCCAATGTCACCAAGTAAAATAGCAGGACACAAATGCATGACAATGTTTAAAAACTGTACTGGTTTCTAACAAGTCCCTAATTTTCTTGGTTTGGCCTTGAAAATAACTGCCGATAAAGAAAAACACAGAGTACGTAGCCGTAACATACTATGAAAATGATAAAGCAATGTGAATACTTTCAGATTTGTATCTTAGGTTAAATGTAAAGATTTAGAAATATAATTCTGTATAAACACATACAAACAGGTAAGTTGGCAATAAAAGGAACTATTAAAAACTGACCCAAAACTACTATGTAACTTTGAATATCAGTATTTTAAAACCCCATAGAATTGTTAATAACTTTTTAAACAGGTTTTCTAAAGCCTTTAGATTATGCGTTTACTGGGAGTTGGTGGTTTGTGTTTTACAACTGAACTGCTCTGCTCTAACATCTGTAGTTCTTGATAAAAGTGATAACAAGGATTATTCACATCAGCAATCAAGAAAACACACGGTCTAATTGCACAATATCCTCAGAGGAGAGAGTTCCTAAAGTTAAAAAGCAAAATATTCACCAAAAGAGCAGTGGGACTGTTATGGAATTCTTTTCCTGTTCTCAGGAATGCATCTCTTTCCTTCTGGCCTGTTAGCACAATTCCCAGCACCATATTTGGTATTAGAGGAGTGGAGCAAAGGAGGTGGAGTGAGTTTAGCTATGGCCTACTATGTCAAGGGAGATTAAACAAACCAGTGTCGGGACAAGAACCAGCTATTGCTTTTATCTCACACCAAACATGGACACACTGGAGATGAGCAACTTAAAGCATTTCAGCCAAAACAAAGTTAATGGCAATCTGAAGAAACAAGACGAATGAAGAAATTAAGACTAATAGATGAGAGTCTATGTTTGCATTTAACAATACAAAACAAATACATCAAACCAGTACAACACATGTTATTGCTGTAAGGACTCCAACAGTCTGTTCATTCTTTAGAAGCTGGACAACAATGCAGAACACCTTTAGATGTCATGCAGCTTACACCCTAAAAACTCTGAACAGCCACTGCATTTTGAGCAAGGCGGAGGCTCTTCAACCACTTACCATGAATCTGATCCAGGTTAAACTCAATCTGGAAACGACAAGCAGTTGCAAGGGGGAAAAGAGTGATGAAATAGTTGGTATACAGAGAGAGAAAAACCTAAAGCCTAGGCTGCTGCAGCAGGCGGATACAGAGCAGACTGGCAGCAATGATGCAGGAGTCCAGGAATAAAGCGCCAAAACGAGTCGGAGAAAAATGGAAATGTCCCCACAGACAGATATACACACACACACACACGAGTATAAGTACTTACCAAGGATTTGATCTTCAGAGAAGTCAGACTGTTCAGGAAGAAATTAGGCGAGAGAAAACGGTTTAAGTTGTTCTGGTTACAGGAAATATTCAACGTGTGCTGCAATTCAAAACGCCTTTCTCTGACAATAGAAAATGGTAGGAGTCGCAGATAAAGGTGGTTAAGTAATAAAATGAGATAATTGTTAACATAGCTAAAGCTAGCTCAACAAAAGTTGTACTTCCGCTTAGGAGAGGCTTACAATTCGCGTCTCAAACTTCACCGTTAACCGCGCTGCGAAGCTAAACACTGTTTAATTTAATTTCTCTATTTACAAGCACGAGTCCGGTACAGTCAAAAAGCCAAGTGTAACAAAAAAGACCCACCATTGCTTTGCTGGCCTAGGTGTGTCCGAACTGACGGAAACCCAAAGAATGTGACGGCTCGATTAGAAGCGCAGAGGGAGAAAAACCTGCGGTGCGTAATGATGCAGAGTAGCGACGGGGTGACGTCACAGCCCAACTGCACCGCTCCATATATAGAAACAAACTGAACAGAGATTTAATCTATGGCTCTAGCGAGATCTTTCTTTTATTTATCCGGCCCTTGCTCTTGATCTTCCCAAACAGATCAGTACCAACATTAATAAAATAAACTTTATATGGAAAAAGAAATGTCATCTCATCAAGAAAAAATATTCTGATGAATAAAATTGAAAAAGGAGGAATTTAAGCCCTTGACTTCACATCTTTAAACAATTCATTCAAAATTAAATATTTAATTTTTTTTTTTAAAAAAGAACCCAAACTAGTAGACTTGGTTGCTCCTTAAAGATACTCAATAAATAATAAAATTACTCATAATGTTTATCCTGTTAAAGCATTTTTGATAAAAAGATATAAATGGGATTTGGACCCAATGTGTATAGTTTTTGAAAAAATTATGAAAAAAAGCTTATTAATCTTTTTTGGGATTCTAATTATACCAAAATATTCTGCAGAGATATGTCCATTTTTTTTCAACAAAAAAATCTTAACATTACTTTAACAGAAGGATGTTTTGTTTGGGATGGAGAAATGTGAACTTGTTAAAGCATACTTCAAAGCATATTTGATATGTTATTAAATGTTTTATTATTTATGGTAAATATCATATTCACACCTCCAAAATACTTACAACAAAAACCTAATTTCCAGATTGTATTATCTTATATTAATATCTATATAGAATCTTTAAAATGAAAAGAAAAACGGAAAAAAGGAAACCATATTGGACCATGTGCTGAAATTCATGTCTAAATAGTGAATTATTTGCTAGAACACTACCTGTGTTTCTTGATTTAAACTAAACAGGGAGTTAATCAGCAAAATACATGTTTAAGATCATTCTGCTTTGGAATTTAAGTCTAAAGCAGAACTAGAAGTATTGGGTGAATGTACATTATTATTTAGTTTTAATGACTTTGATACCTTTTTAAAACCCAGTACAACACTTACTTTGTGTCAAAAGTACACACATTTGTTACTCAAGTAGAAGTATAGATACTGTAGTTTAAAAACACTCTGGTAAAAGTTGAAGTATCAACTTGACCTCTTTACTCAAGTAAAAGTGAAAAAGTATGTGCTCCAAAAACTACTTAAAGTATAAAAGTATAAAGTAACCTTAAAAAAAAAACAAACAGCCAGATTCCCTATATGAATTAAAAGCAAATTTTTTCGACTATTTCCAAAATTTCTTTGAGATAGGGCCAAGGATGAGGGAGGTCTTGTTGGTCTCCGTCTCCATCTCCAGATACGCTCTCGTCTGTGTCTGACCTTTCAGACATTTCAACATCTTTTTCTGAATCCGACATTGTAGCATGGCATAGAGAATTCGCGTTTTCAGTGTTGAAGAACACCTGCTTGCTTTTGATGATTTCTTTTAGCTAACCAATGAGTGTTTGCGTTATATAACTCATCCAATTACACTAGTTTTCACTAGATGTGTCCAATGATCTGCAGGATATGACGTTAAATAAATATTTAGAAACATTAAACCAAAGCCAAGAGTAATGACTAACGTTTGTTTTAAACATGTAAGGAATAGAAAGTACAGATACTTGTGTGAAAATGTAAAGAGTAGAAGTCAGAAATAGAAAGAAAAATAAGTAATGGAGTAAAGTATAGATACCTAAAAGGTTTACTTAGTACAGTAACAAAGTATTTGTACTTCGTTCCTGTTCCTTGACACCTCTGCTTTTGTACCCTTGCAGGCTATTCATTGGACTTTAACAACTAAAATTGCAATGAATATCTGGAAAAATTGAGGCGTTCTGAAACTTTTGACTGAGTGCATTTTGTAAATTCATGACACAAGGTATGTAATAAGATTCCAGCATTTATCAGGTTTCTTTTAGCTAATGAAAATGCGAATTAATATCCTCAGAGAATTTGAGTATTACATAAGATCAATAAACAAACGAACAGAGAAATTATTTTATTGGCTGCATTTGAACAGGGTAAATATGCTGACCTGACAGCAAAAACAGAAAACAGTTCCTGATGGAAGAAGGATCAAGTTACAAATAATTATGACAAAAGTATCCGGCTGTTGACAGACTGTTTTTATTCAGGCATATTCATGGAATGTGAAAAAAGTATGACAGAGCCACCTTTAACATTGTCAGGCTTTACCTGGACTGTTGCTTATTGGTCCAAAGTTATCTGTCAGAGAGAAATTTATTTTAAAATTTTAAAATCAAGGTCGTCTCAAGTCCCCTCAACAATGATTGACAGTGCGGTGTCATCTTGAACGAGTCCAGGTTAAAAATGCACACACTTTTTCTAATAAAATCCTGTCTATTTCCAGTTAACAGATTAGAAAGGGGTCCTTTATTTATTGTATTGAACTGGCTTCACGTAAGAGAATATACTTCTCCCCCACCGCTAAAGACATTCCCCTTTTTAGGAGCTGCCTCTACGAAAAATACATGCCATTAATCAGCTGACTAGATGAGCAGAAGCGACCTAAAGACGTTTTTAAAACCTGTGTGCACAACCCCCCCACCATTATAATGATATCAATGGATGTTAAATTTTTTTTTGTTTTCCAGTGTTGCATTCATTTTTTAGCTTTTAATCATCAAGCGGAAAGATATATAACCATTTCAGAAAAGATTAAAACAGCTTTATAAACCTCATTATTTTAGCTTTTTCCTAATTAGAAATTAGGAAAACAATAATCCTAATTACTTTTTATAATGATAATTGCAATTATTAGTATTATATTATATTTTAGTAAATCCTTGTTTTTTCCCCCGAAATGGTTAGTTTGATCACAAACAAGTACCAGGGTGACTTTGGTTTGGCTTTTAGCATTATGAATGTGTGTGGAGAAGCATGAATGATGAACCTGAGCTCAGACAAATCATAAAATGAGGCTCTACCTCCTAAAAGCCAGCCAGTCCAGTCCCCTTTCCTGCTATCTGTGATCACACTGTGTACATAGCTTACATATTATAACACTAAATGAGACATTCACTTCATTAAAACACGTGACACATTCTGACATACAAAGCTTCTCATAAAGGAGGCGGAGCGAAAGCATTAAGCAAACTCAGCCATTATACTACAAGAAAAATATCAGAAAAACATCATTTCTGATATTCATATACTGTAAATGTATATAAATTATTGTTTAATCCCTGTGGAAAAGTATACAAAGGGCTGTGTTAGTGTTCTATGCTGCATAACACATTCCTACGGTGGCCCTAAAGTGCAAACCACATAAACAAATATCTAAAGAAAACTATAAATTAGGGTCACTGTACATTTCTTAGTTTAACTCTTACAAAATGGGAACTAATAAAAAAGTACATTTCACAACCTACAGACTGCAAGACAGTCTGTACCCTGAGGTTACCTTAACCCCACCCCTAAGTTTTAATAGATCAGATAGATTTGTAGGTAATTGATTAAGGTGTGTTGAAGTAATCAATCTGATTTGAATGAACCTAATATTGTAGATTTCTGCTAATGAAAAAATTTGATGTGCAGCTTATGTCCACCATTGAATTAAGTAGATCCAACACAGTGTTGCTATGTTTCAAAAGCCTCACCTCACCTCCTCTATATGTCCAAGCATTACCAATGGCTTGAGTCTTGGTGGTTAAATGGTTTTGATGGCTCCTTTTTGTTGTTGCTTTTTGTTTTTTTTTTGTCTCCTAATGTAAAAAAAATACCTTTATGGAAAGTATTTTCTTGAAATACTTTGAGTTTCAATGCATACCTGCTTTAAAGAATTATAAGAGACAATATAGAATTGTCTTCAACATATTCTATTTTAAGATTAAGTTTTTTTATGTGTTTCAAAAGCTGCACAAATTTCCTTAAAAATAATTGCTGCTCACACATTTTGATTATAGATATTTTTTTATTTGGTTTTAAACAACTAACCCATGAATCCTCTACCGTTTATGTTGTTAAATATTTAAACTATTATATTTTTGATTGCTCTTGCTCCAGGAAGTAGGCCACTGAACGTAAGAAGAAAATAGCTCACACTGTAGCAGGGAATTCACTCTTTATCCCTAAGGAGCTGATTTACTGGCAGTGAGCACTCAGTGCCCCATTTTGTTTCTCAAGTTAGAATATTTATACATCTGCTCTGATATAAAAGGTGATTTTTACCAAAGAATTAAATGCATTTAAATTTAGCTATTTCATTCTTTAATGCTATTTTACATTACATTACATATCATGGTATTGAGCAATCACTCACCTCCAAAGTACTGGGGTCGAATGGTGAATCAGAAGGACAAAGCATCCTTGGCTTCTGCTCTGGAATTGGTTTAGAGGCTGCAGGCGAAGTAGGCAAACTGGGGTAAGGTGGACCCAGACGCGGTTCAGCCACTGGTGAAGGAGAATTCTTAGTGGAGGGTTCTCTTTTAGGAGCCATTACCAGCATCCAAAACAATTTGAAGTTAGTGAGAGATTACAGCAAAAGCGACTGGTGTGGCGACTGCAAATGTGAATATAGAGCAGGGAAGTTACGTGTCCCAACTGTGTGAATACCATTGAGCAGATAAGGAGGAGGAGGAGGGAAGCAGAGGAAGAGGAGGAGGAGAGCAGTGGTGTGATGCTGACAATAGAAAAAAAACTGGCAGCAGGTGGATGATGCAGAGGTGGATGTACAGTATGAAGAAACAAAAATGGAAATAAAAAGTCAAAGGTAGGAGAGGTGGGGTGAAAGTAAGTGAAAAAAATAAAAAGGGGACGTATATAGACAAATCTGGCTATGCTGATTGGAACAAAATGCTCTTATTTGACTTAGAAATGTAGATATCTGGAGCAGAACTTTCATTTTCAGTGCAGTTAGGGGTATGGTTGCAATGAGAACATTATGTTTTTATTTAATCCTATCGTAACTAATACTAATGCCCAGATTTTAGAAGAATTTATCAGTAAATAACAACCTTATACAAATATAAATACTATTAGTGTATTTCTGAATTTAAT